CACCACACGAGAGGGAATAAGACATAATAGCCAAGCCGCCTATAAGTTGTTAGACTTCCTTATTCGTGGTTGGACTCCTCATGTCAATTATGGCTTGGTACTTATTAGTGTATGTTTTTATCCCGCTTCTTGTTAGAATAAAGCCTAGGAATTCCCTTCTTGGACCATAAATGAACATTTGGCGGGGTTCATACGCATGTTTAATTTTCTAACTAATCTTATGTTTTACAACCATGTTTTGTATGTAGACCTTAAGGTTATGACCTATTTTATTTTTAAACATTATGTTCATCAAAAGCTTTTACAACCATGTTATCTATGTAGATCTCAAGGTTCTGCCTTATTTGCTTTGTAAACATTGTGTCCATCAACCTTTGAAAGGCGACGTCAGTGTTCTTGAGTCGAATGTCGTGACTTCATAAAAGTAATTGTAGTTATTTTTCATGAAGGAGGCTTTGGACACATCCAGAAGTCCATCTTGATTTGAGTTTACCCTGATTAGGCATCCATGAAGCTTAGTTTCTTGTATCTTTAGGAGTCATTGATTAACCTGTCAACGTTAGGAAAAGGATAAGGATCTTTAGGGCATGATCGGTTAAGATCGGAAAAATATACATAGAATCACCGTTTTACTGATGATTTCTTAACCATCACAATGTTGGCCAACCAAGTCATATATTTTGTACTTCTTTGATAAATCTCGCATCCTCGGTTTTTTCACTTCTTCGTCCATGGCTGATCTCTTTATTTTGTCCATCTTTCATTTTTTTTTTTTTGGATTACTCTAGTTTGGTTGAGACGTGAAGGGAGAGGTGATGAAATACAACCTTAGCATCAATCCTTGGCATGCCTAATAGAGTCCATGAAATCATATCTATTTTTTGGAATGGTGCGACGAGTTATTTTTCTTTGCCCTCTGATAGGGAAGTACCCACATTTGTTGTTTGGAAATTATATGGGCTGATCTGGACCTCTTGGAGGTCTTAAATGGGAATCATCTTGTCCTACATGTATTATTCCTTAGGGTCTAGGTCGATGAATTTTACTCTACGAGGAGTCAAATCTTGATATGGAGTAGACGATCATCGTCGCCTTTTTTTATCTAAAGACTATCCTGACAATATTCCTTGGATATCTCATGGTTCCTTTCATGATTCATATTTTTCCATTATCCAAGGAATCCTTCATAGTTAGATAGAGTATTGAGAGGGAAGCGTCCAAAATATTGAAATTAAAGTGTCTAATGATGATGTTATACGATAATGTGGCACTTATAATGAGGTATCTAACCTTTATTGACTTGGCATTTTTCAAAGATAGAATATGATCCAGATGGATATGTAACCTTTGATCTGAACTTGCTTATCTGAGAAGATGATTGGGGATCCTTTAAATAGTTGTAAATATTCTGGATCCAATTATAATGTGTCATAGTATATGACTTCGGTCAAGCTTCTAAGATCGGAAAAAATGTGTCTGAATTCTCAATTGTACAATTGTGTTGTGATGACCATAGGATCATCCACATGGGGGAAAATTATGGTCGATTCTCTATGCGATAAGGTGACTTCGAGCGTGGGAGATGACTTGTGTTTCTGGGGCAAGTCTACCACGTGCATCACTTGTCATGTGTATCTCTTACTGGAGGATCTATATTCTCATCCCCCAATGAATCCTTTTGAAGTGATGTTAAGTGTATGGAATATTGATTCATCGTCCCCCATTTCTTATAGTTTTTATCCCCCTAGGTTGGAGGCTTCTGGGTCAATCTCGCGCTTATAGACGTGATCTACCTCCCGAATGATTTGGGGTACCCTGGACGTACCTTGTAAAATGGGTTTCTTGGATTAGATGTTATATCTCATTCTTTATCTAATGGCAGTCATCTATGTAACGACATTTAACTTTGTGGTACTTACACCACTTGCTCGACTTGTTCCCCTGTACCTCCCACTTAGGATTCAGATGAGGTGGGGTGGACTTTATGTGGAGTATCTTGCTCTATATCTACTCTCTCTTGATGTTAAGCAATTTGTGGCTTTCTATAGGATTCCTAGTGGGTTTGAAGGTCTCCCTCTCATTGATGGTTGGTGGAAATGGTTCCTGCATTGGTGGGAGGACTCAGATCCCTCGATGTTACAATCCTACGTATCTTTGGTCTTCTTCTTAGTGTTATTTTCCTCACTATTTATAGATAATTCACCCCTCGCCATAATATCTTCCATGGAATCTTCATGCTTTTGGGTGAGAAATTCATTGAAATTCCTAACTTTGAGATAGTCCTAGAAGTCTCCTACGAACATTTATTGGTTAGGAGTTGATCACTTTAATGACCGCCTCGTTGAACTTTGTCATATACTCTCTTAGCGACTCAAATGTCGATGGAAAACATTAACCAAACTAGTTGTGGATACCTTCTAGTGTTTGCTCGGAGAAATTAGTGAACCAACTTTTTGTAGAGGTCTTGGTAGTTGGTCGCAGAGAACCTAAGCAAGCTCATGTACCAACTTAATATCACCTTCTTCAGCGTAATAGAAATAAGTTTGCATTTTAGCGAGTCGGTATGACCTAATATTTCCATTTGAGTGTTGATGGCAGTAATATGCTCATGCGAGTCACTTATTTATCCCAGACTCTTAATTGATTTCGACTACTTTATTGATGCGGTAAAATGGGTGATGACCCTCCTGCATATTTCAATCCTGTGAACCAGAACATGGCTCTACGTTCACGGTGGGGACGAGAAACTTAAATTATTTGACCTCTTCCTCAAAAATAAAGAAGGACATCCACAATCAACAACTCTAATGAGCATTTTCCAAACTTGATTACCTTTCACCAAGCCGTTGATGAAAATAGGTGGCCTTGACATGGGTGAGTAAAAATCCTGTGAAATGTAAGAAATTCAGCATACGATAAAATGTAAGAAAACGCAGTGACAAATAACATGTCAAATAAACTAGTTCTCTCAAACCAGTCACAAAGCAAAGTTACAAACTACAACTCAGCAGAAGCACGGTTTAAAACTCAGGAAAGTTATAAAAATGAGCTTCACCTCAACACATACAAACATGCGAACATGAACTTCTACAAAAACAAAGTAACAATAATAAAGTATAATCTTTTTCACAAAGTCCTTTGAAAACCATTGTTAACAAGTTCGATTTAGTGACAAAAAATGGAAACTTACTGCAACCAAAAAGTGATATGTTTTAAACAAACCACAACAAAGCATAAGACAAATACTTAATTTGATAAAAACATGTTATAAAGCACACTATGTTTTATATTTTAGAAAAATCAGAAACATCATAAGCATGACAAATAAAAACCAAAAAACATCGGGGCTTTATCCTATATATGTCACCAGAAGACAAATCACATGATACATCTACTATCAACCATGAATCTACTGCTGATAGATACAAACATCACAACCATGAACTTCAAGTTCAAAAAAGATTTTGGGTTCATCAAACAACAAAAAAGTAGATGGGTCATCATGAGGGAAAATCATTCATTTTGGATCAAACACTCACCTAAAGGTTAAAGACTCACCCAAACAAGTCAGAGAGACACCACATATTCACCCAAAACCTTAAGGTGATATATGTTTGAATCCTTTTACTTATAAAGTGTTTAACCTCCACTTTTCTAAGCAATGTGGGACTTAGAACTCACACTTGTTTCTTAACAATCTCCCTTTCAAATGTAAGTCGATCCAATATGCTCCCCCTCAAGCGGAAGTGTTTTCATCCACATACTTGTACTGCCATTGAAATACACCATTATCTCATCATGGGCACTACAATGAGACACATCGTCTGACTACCATATCAGGAAGACTTTCGACACAAGGAGTCGGTCTCTTACTCAAACCACGACTTTGATACCAGATATGGGTCATCATGAGGGAGAAACATTCACATTTGGTCAAACACTCACCTAAAGCTTAAAGACTCACTAAAACAAATGAGAGAGATATCACATATTCACCCAAAATCTTAAGGTGACAGGTGTAGGACTTAGAATTCACACTTGTTTCTCAACAAAAGTAACAATAACAAACCTAAAAAATGCAACGATTAGGTCATTTAGATAAACAAACCGAAACTTGAAAATTATAGAAGAAATATTAAGAGTGAAACTTTGGAATGATTGATGTTTGAGATGTGTTAGAAAGTTCGACAAATGAGGGTTCAGAGAAACAAAGACAAAATGTGAAGAGGGAGTGTGGCTAGAGAGAAAAGAAAAATATCAGTGAGAGAAAGAAAGAGAGTTGAAAGGGTGAACACAAAAAGAAACATATAATACAAAGAAAGGTATGCGTGTATGGTTTTGTTGAAAAAAAAATTTGAGTGTGTGCTAATGAGTGTGTGACACATATAATAGAAAGAAAAGTGTGAGAGTGTTTTAATTTAAACATTTATTGTTTACCGATTAATCTATTATGGATACAATAATTTATTATGGATGATTAGAGATATAAACATACAATAGTATATTTACAGTACAACATAATTAATTAGAGATATAGACAAAAAAAAATTATCATTACATTTTAAAATACGAAGACCATCTTATAAAAAATATTTTAAAAATACCAAAAAAACAGTTATTGTTTAAATACACACTCTTGATTTAAAAAAAAGAAAAAGAAAAAAAAAGAAACTGTTTATTAGCATATCCACTTGTCAATTTATAGTTACCTAGAACAATGAAAGCATGCAATCACTTTTCCAAATTTCACCAAACTTAATTAAACAAATCATCATTCATTTTTCTATTTTGACTTCTGCACCTATTAACAGTAAAGTTGAAGCTTTCACTGTTTAAGCATTTATAACATTCTCGTAACTCCAACCTTTTCTACTCCTCCACTGCAATGCATGCTAAACCTTCAATGCACAGAACCACCTTTTCTTCAGATCATCACTTCCCAACACACATCTAAAAAACCCTTCTCTTTCTCTCTGAAAAACCTAATTGCTGAAAAAAACATGAAGCATTCAACTTATTTCTTGACTTTTTGTGTTCTGGTTATAGTGTTCAATGTGGTTAAAGGACAACCTCTTGTCCCTGCATTGTTCATATTTGGTGATTCTGTTGTTGATGCAGGAAATAATAACAACTTATATACAATTATTAAATCAAATTTTCCTCCTTATGGAAGAGACTTCAAGAATCACATGCCAACAGGAAGGTTTTGTAATGGAAAACTTGCAACAGATTTTACAGGTATTATGCTCCTCCTTCCTCAAAACCCTCATTTAGTGTCGGACATCAACACACGTCTATGTAGTTATATACATGTGCATGCTTCATTCTATCAGTGTCGTGTCTGATACTCGTGTTTATATTTGATCATTGTTGAATTTTTTCACTATTGCAGCTGAAAATCTCGGATTTACAACTTATCCGCCAGCTTACCTCAACTTACAGGTTAAAGGAAACAACCTCTTGAATGGTGCAAACTTTGCATCTGGTGCTTCTGGAATCTATGGTCCTACAGCCAAGCTATATGTAAGTAAATATATACACTTTCATGCTGACACCTCTAAAAATAAGTCTGTTTGTGTCTGTGCGTGTCAGTGTCAGGGCAATATTCTGCCTGTCCATGCATCATAGCTTGAAACAAAACAAATCTCTTTTTCTTTTCTACTTTATTTGAATATATTGGTTAGTCATGATTTTTTTTTTATATATTTGTTTCATTTGGATCTAGCGCGCAATTCCATTGGACCAACAACTGGAACACTACAAAGAATGCCAGAATATATTGGTGGGAGTAGCAGGAAAATCAAATGCTTCAACAATTATATCTGAAGCTATATATCTTGTTAGTGCTGGTAGCAGTGACTTTATTCAAAACTATTACATAAATCCTTTACTTTACAAGGTTTACACTGCTGATCAATTCTCCGATATTGTCATTCAAGATTATATCGTTTTCATTCAGGTATGTCTTAAACATTAACTATTACCAGAGCCGTATTAAACTTTTGGTGGTCTTGCGGATTGCTCCCAATTAAGCCAAAGTAAAACCCTGACAAAATGTATAGGGGTCTGTCTATTTAGCCACGGTTTAACTCTGTCAAATGCGTCATGAGGTTCTATTTAGCCGCTGTTTAAACGTGATTTTGAATTGACATTTCTAAATTGCAAACATGGATGTTATACATTACAGAATTTATACGCACTTGGAGCAAGGAGAATCGGTGCAACAACATTACCTCCATTGGGTTGTTTGCCGGCAGCCATCACTCTTTTTGGCTCAAATAGCAATGAGTGTGTGGAGAGGCTAAACACTGATGCTGTTAACTTCAACAATAAGTTAAACATCACATCTCAGAACTTGCAAATATCACTTAGTAACCTTACATTGGCTGTCCTTGATATCTACCAACCTCTCCATGAACTTGTCACTAAGCCTGCAGAAAATGGTAAACTAGTAAACTACTGCAAAGTTATGTATTTGTTTCCAATTTGTTTCATCTTATTATCAACACGCCACTCTTTTCACAGGATTTTTCGAAGCAAGGAAGGCTTGTTGTGGATCTGGTTTGATAGAGACATCTATATTGTGCAACAAGGACTCCATAGGAACATGTGCAAATGCTTCTGAATATGTGTTTTGGGATGGTTTTCATCCATCTGAGGCTGCAAACAAAGTTTTGGCTGATAGTTTGCTGCTTTCTGGCATCTCCCTCATATCCTAATCCAACATGTTTTGGGTCATTATCAGCTCTATCTATTATGATTACCATCATTATTTAGCTTTCAAGTGTGTCTCTGTGTGTGTGGCTGCTGTTGTTAAATGAGTATGGCTTATGTATAAGGAGTTTGAATATGATTAATTATAAAGCTCACTAGGTGTTTCATTATTGTAATAAGACCATAGTTCTTGAGAGCTTTGTGTAAATTTTATGTTTGAGTGTTCAAAGTTGTTCATGTTGGATTTGCCAAAAAATTAACAAACTTCGACTAAAAAACTATGACTTCCATGTGTAGTAACAGTGATTAATAGTGAAAACCAAAAAGTAACAAACTTAGAATTTTAAAAACGGGGACTTCATGTGTATCAATAGTTGATTAATAGTGTGTTTGGAAAACAAATTTTTTCACCAACCTCTTAATATGGAGGATGCAAATCAGACTTTGAAAAATCTGCTTGAACAAATCTCATAATTTCTTTGATGTGTATTTTGAACACATTTATACTTCCTGTTTTACTCTTAAGATTAAACAAAGCATGACCATTCAAGCCATTAAACTTCATAAATTTTTTATATTGGGATTTCTTAACTCTCAACGGCTTAGCTAACTGAGGTTTCAAGAGTGAGTTAAACAAAACTTGTCAAACCTTCAAAGATTGTTTGGAAAACAGTAATTTACAATATAATAACTAATTCTACTTCGAGAATTTGTGACAACAATCCAACAACTTTTTTAAACCTGTCTCACTTACAAGAACTTCAGCATTCCCATTATTCTCAGTTTCCTTCCTTACAGCTGTCCACTGATTCACAATGCTGATTATTCTCACGAGCTGTTAGTCCAAAGGTAAAGGGAAACAAATAATAGAAAAAAAACACACATCTACATAAATAAGCATGTCAACCTAAATATCAATACATGTGATGTCAATACACGCGGCTGGCCTTTTATAGTTAGCTGCATTGGGATGGCTAGTAGCAGCAGATTGGATAAACAGTAATTAAGTACATGTTTGATAAATCATTAGGTTAGAGAAAATTGCATCAAAAAGGTTAACACAAAAGCTTTTTTAGTTAGCTGCATTGGGATGGCTAGTAGCAGCAGATTGGATAAACAGTAATTAAGTACATGTTTGATTAATCATTAGGTTAGAGAAAATTGCATCAAAAAGGTTAACACAAAAGCTTTGATGTATAGCTTCTAAATTTTCACATCAAAAAATGCCATACCTCTGGGATGGAAAAAGTCATTCTAAACGCCATACCAAACATACGCCAAGAGCTATGCACATAAAAGTTCATGTAAAAGCAATTTCCATAACAAAAGAAAAAATTAATTCAATTCAAAGCAAATTACTGCAAGAGGAATCAACATGGATTTATAATTATATAATCCTGACAGCATGCAAACTAATGCAACATCTTATCTCTAAGAAACTGAAACCTCATTCCAAGAAGTGTGATTCTTCAAAAATTTCAATTCCTGTCATTCAAAAGGGGCCTCAAAACAGCAAACGGTAAACCGAAATAATTAATGAGAAGGATACGGATGTGTTTCTAGTATCTGCTGTTGAGCCTGGGCTGTAGTCAACACATTGTTGGTTCAGAAGCTCATCTTCAATCAGATCAATTCTTCTGACAAGAACCAAAACAAAATGACATAAACTTGATGAGTTCATTTCAGTTTCATGTATTCTGACCAATATTCTAGCAAGTACGCTCCAGACTGCATTTCTTGCCTCCAAATCATCCGAAGCAAAAGGAAATATATCAAGCAGACCACCTAAGAGGCACCAATCTAGAAGGCACAATGTCAATTCCATTATACAGCTAATCCAGGTACACCAAAAACAAACAAACAAACAAATAAGTAGAGCATTATAGTTTATGGATGAGAGTGAGATATATGTTTTACCTTGTGATATTTCAGAAGAACGATCAACAACATCCGACAAAATATTTGCAATAAGAACTGCAGCAGTAACACAACAGTTCCCAACCTACAAGAGATACGACCAATACACCTTTGTTTTTCAGTTATACAAATCATTTTCATTTCTTGTCAATCTATGAGAAGCACATACTAAATAGAAAGGGGTATAAGAGCACGTAGGTCACTAGGTGACACTATTTCAGTTTTATCAGTAATATTAGTTCATACCATTTTCTAAATCAATTTAGAAAGTAGGTGTTTATTCTTTGAGAAATCATTTGACAGCCTGATCAATTTGGTCTCAATTTGGACAGCCTGATCAAGTTGATTCACTAAGGTTGACTGCTCAACAGAATTTACAACAACAGCCAAGTCTTATCCCACTATGTGGAGTCGGCTACATGGATCAACTTTCGCCATAATGTTCTATCTAGAACCATACTTCTATCCAAATCGTTAATCTCGAGATTTTTCTTAATAACTTCTCTTGTAGTCTTTCTAAGTCTTCCTCTACCTTGACTGAATTTAGATTCAATTATTAAAAAAAATCTTCTATACCGAAGGAGGAAGACCATTTAGGTTCAAGTACAAGGAACAGTAACTTATTTTCTCAGCAACGCTGATATATTAAAAAATATATATATTCATCATTAAAATTTGTAAGATATACTCTAAGGTTGCTTTTTATGAGACATCGTTGCAGCCCTTATCCCCAAGGATCCATAATATTTGAAAACCCTATCCCATTGTGTCACCGAGCAAACCATCTATCAACAACTAATCATGACTAATAGAAAATTTGGAGTATATGTGAAAAATATCAAATACACAATTCAACTGATGCTACTCAAAAGAACAAAGCAGAGAAAAGTAAAAGAATCTGGCAATTGATGGAAAAAAAATTATTGCTGTAAAAATACATAAGCTTGTGATGCATCTTGGAAGGGAAAGAATGTGTTGCTCTTATTGGAGAAGTCATTATAACATTTGTGTGTTTTGTGAATATAGTTTTTCAGATTAAGAAACTCCTATGATAACATCTCAACTCAACAGTTGATGTAAACTAAATTGCGTCTTGACGAAAAATGCTAACTTCAACAATACGGTACCTCAACTTTATCTGTGAACTTGACCAAGTTACATGCTAGGTGAAAAAGCTCTTTATTTGAACATATTTCCTGAGAATGACCATCTATAACAGAAAGGCTTTCAATTGCACGAAGAATTAAATCAAGAATTGAATACCTGAAATTTGAAGATATTATTAGGTTCTCAAATCAAATTCACCAGAATGTCTTTTGTAACAACAAATATTCCACCAGACTGCTGGATGAATAGTTACAAACATTGTCATGAATAGGGTCAGAATTGGCATCAGAAAATAATAGGAACTGCATAATTTCATCTATGTGAAATGGCGGATTGTGGATTATAGTACCTTTCAGGTATTCGGTCACTCGTTAGTTTGCTTATCTCAAAAGTCAAGAGATTGATCAATATATTTGCCAAACCAAGCTTCATCATAGGTGGAAGAAGATCATCCACAACTTTTTGCCGGCTTTCTAATATAGCTAATATAAGCCCTGTAATCTGTTAAGGAATAAAATAATCTTAGCTATTGATTAGATGGAACTTGCATTCTGACTCAGAAAGAATGCCAAAACAAGTAATAAAAATGATCATATTAATTTTCCTTCCAAAATTGTTTATGTTTCTGGCGCAATACTTCATAGCATGCTTTTCACAAAGCCCAATGCAATAATACGTAGTTCAGTATCACCTCTATAAAGATCGAAAAAGTTGAAACTATGATGAATAAGGAATTACGAAGTATTCATTACCTTTTCTAAAAGCTGAAGGTTCAAAGTATTTTCTGCAATCCATAATATTTGACATAATACATGTTCGGACTGCAATGCCTCAGCCCACGAAATGGATTCGTCACTTTGAAGGCCCACAGTCAATAATCTGTTCTCAGAACACAAGAAAAGTTTGTAATATAAAGATAACTCTGATTTTAAAAAAATTAGTATGACACCTAGATTACATCACAACACAAATAAAAGTTTGTGCCTTTATGGATAGATAAATAAATAAACTAATAAAACATCATCCCCTATTCAGGGTGGTGTATATATGTGGAATGTTCTTTTACAGAAAGGAATTTGTGAAGGAAGAAGATGATAGTTCAAAGAAAGTGGATGAGAAGAGACAGCTTCTCAAGAAAATAACACTGAAACAGCAAACCTAGAGCCTAGATCATGCAGCAAAACACGCCAATATCACTAAATGGCTCAGAAAGAACCGGCAATAAAAAGGCCATTCGCAGAATACCAAATGGTGGCTAAAATGATAACCTGTGCAAAATAAGTCAAGAGCAGAACAAGAGCCCTTTAAAGTTCTAGAATTTGCTCTCCAGACATATACAACAAAGAATTGCTGAGACATGGCTTGGCCACAATATTAGCATTGATGTGAACCAAAACCTCTGAAATCAATAGAAAGAAATTAAGACAAGTCCCTAAGGTTTTGTTTGGGAGTTTGGAGAGGAAGGGAAGGGAGGGGAGGGCTTTGAAAAATAGGAAGGATTGAGTGAAAAAAATAGAAGGATTTAGGTGGGGAGGGTTTTGGTTCAAATATAATTATGTTGTTATAGTATTCCAAAAATTAAAAATATGTCAATGATAAACACTTTTTTTATCATTCTAAACAAAATCTTTTTTCAAAAAATGTTAAAGATTTCTCTATATTTTTTTTTAAAAATCGTTTTTCGAAGCCCTTTCTTCCACTCCCCTCCAAACTCACAAACAAGCCTAAGTCAAATCTACTAATCACCAAAAATCCTACACAGCGTACTCTAGAAAAAAGTAGCTATGAATCGATTTCAAAATAAAATGATCTGTAGTTGGTAAATTAGAATTACATTAACATTTTTGGGAGAGAAAGCAATGAGATTCTATGCTGCTACATGCCATTAACATTACTGTGAATTATGTACAAACAACAATCCAAACATAGTATTTGACCATAGGTGAAGCTTTAGAGACTATATTACGGGTTAGGAAACAAATAACAAAATCCACAGGATAAAAGATTCCAAAGTCTTTATTCAGGATTAGACGAAAGATGAACAAATTCAGCATAAGTACTCAGTAACCTCGCTAACAGGCAAATCCGTGAATAAAAATTCAAGAGGAAATGGACGGAATAGAAAAGGCCTAATTAGATCAGCAAGATACATGTACATATTTTCTTTAAATTAAAAAGAAAAGAGACATAACATTTCAAACTAGCAAGTGTTTCTTTCTCACAGTAATAAATTATTATTGCTTAAGGAAACAGAAGATAAAAAAAACAGGGATAACAATATGGAAATAGAAGCAAAAGTGAGAATAACTACATCTACATGTGTCAAAGAAGCATCATACCTAGATGTTTCGGATAAGCATTGAGGATCATCCAGAAATAATTTGTCTACAATCATCTCAATCAGTCCTTTAGTGGAGACTATACGCTTCATTAGAACTTCGTGGCAGGCAATGTTCCCAATAATTCCTATGCTAATCTCCTACGGAATGTAATAAATACAAAAATATGTAATGAAGTAACATTTGATCTTCTAATCACCTCATAGCTTTATTATCACATATCATTAAAAGATTGCACACTGAATCATGGTACATATTTATATATTGACTTACATTAACACGCATGGATTTGCAATTAATGAGATTTGCTAAAAGAACTTCAAGTATGAGATTCTCCACCTGCAATTAAACAGTTTGAAAGGCATAAAACAATGACAACCGAAATGTGTTTAGACCTCAGGTGAGTTGAAGTTTCCATGATGTTTCTATACCGATGAAAGGAACGGATGCTTAATTGATGATGAGCACAGTGGTCATGGTTGGAAAACACACACCAGAATACATTCAAGCAATCATTAATCATCATAATCTCAAAAAGCTCACACGAGTGAAACTTTGAGCCCGAAATGATTTATTGAGGACCAGATTATGGCTGCATAGCACATCAAATGAGCTCTTACTTGGAGAGACAGCTGCCAAGATAGAGCATTTTTTTTAATTGAAACTAATATATGATGTATTTTGGTGAACATTTGAAACACATGATTTTGATTGGTTTTGTAAATTTTTATTTGTTTAAAAATTGAGTTTCAAGTGAAATGACTTATGTTTATCGTTTTAATATTTTCACTCCAAAAGCAATTAGTAAAACTCAGATTAAATTCTTCAACTAACACAATTAGATTTTTTTTTTATCATTTCTAATCAACTAAAATTTGAACACGAAATTATCTGACTCGTTAACTTTCCTAAAACCTATTTTTAAAGATACAATCAATTCCAACACTTTTCACCACAAACATACATAAGAATTCAAATAAACACTAAACAAAAATAGAGTAGTACCATGAGTTCTGCATGAGTTTTACTAGCAGCTAAGTCCCACAAAATACAACCATATTCTTCCCAGGCATCCTCTCCAACCGAGTCACCAGAACGTTCACGTCCATCACTCTTATTTTGATATTCTCCCCGCGCATGAGAAGATTCACATGATAAATCAACATCCATATTTTCATGCTTATTCTTCGATAATCCAATGCAATAATCATTACAAATAGGTGCAGATGCCGGTGCATCCGCTTCTTTATTATCAATATCAGTAACCAATCCTTGGCTAGGGCAATTCAAAACAACTCCAGGAACAGAACCAGAATCCGAAGGAAGAAGCTTCCTTATCAAGGAGATTATATAACTAGGATCAACAGTTGTTGATAAATCAAAAAACTGCATCAGGCATAATTCAAAACAATCACTCAATACGAATTATAGGGATAATTACTAGTTGCAGCTTCTTTGAATGTGAAAATGGATTCAAATGCAAGTGAAACTAAAATAGAGATTGTTATTAAGGTGAAGTTGTGATGGTAACCTCGTGTGACGGAGCAGAAGGATGGTGCGTGGGACCATCGCGTTCGTGCTCTTCTTCTTCTTCTTCAATGGCTGGATTTGCCGGAACGGCCATGCGATTGTTTTCGCTTGTGGTTGTTCACTCCAATTTCAAGCTACGGAGATGAGAGTGAGAAGTTGAGACACTGATGCTACTATCTGTGTTGCGTGAATTTGGGGTTTCTTTTCCCCCCACACCTCTCTTCCAAAAACACCCGGCTTCGTATTCTATCATTTTGGTATTTTCAATTCAATATTTGAATTGCAACCAAAAATAAAAATAATTTTTTAAGAAAAATTCTAATTAGACAAAATTCAATATCTAATATCTATCTACTAAAAAAATACCTAGAAATTTCAATTCTAATCCATTGAATGAAAATTCAAACTTTTCTAATTTAAAAAAAGTAAGAGTTTTTTTTTAGATATTTGCTGCAATATTATGCATTTGACATTTATTGTATTTAATGTGTTATGCTACAAGTTTTTTGATTTAATTTTATATTATTTTATATTATACTTATTTGGTTAAATGGAAAAACTTGCTTTGTAGTTTTACGCTTATTATAAAAGTCACAATGAAGATGGAAATGTTATTGTTCTATTGCAAAATGCACGAATAAAGAGTGCTCAAGGTATTTTTGTTTGTCTGCTGTATTATTTATTATTATACTAAATTACTTATAGATAGATTTACCAATGTTGAATATAACTGCGATGTAACGGTGTTTTTTTGATTATTGAAGGAGGTTTTCTGTTGAATGTAGCCAACGCATGGAATGGCACTAAGTTAACTATAAATGATGTTAGCATTGTTGAGATTAGTAAGCTAAAAGAAAGGTAGTTTATTTGTCACATTGTATAATACTATTCGTGTATTTAATGTTGATATCAAACATTTTTTATCCAATTCTTTACATGATGTTTTTCTTTGTTACTTACATCACAGTTTTCAAGGTGAATTACCTCTGTTGTCTTCGTCTAGCTTGCAAGTTGAAACGACCCAAAACGCGCAATATTCTGAATTTGATAAGTTTATATGGAAAGCCGAAATTCTAAGTCTGGCTGAAATCACGAATCTTCAGCATGTAAGTCATCTTTTGTTTGTCGTTACTTTATACAACATCCATATATGTTTGATCTTTGTTCTGATTGCCTTACTATTGGAGACAACATGTGTGACTATTTCCAAGTTAATGAAATTTTAGGTTGGTCAAGCAGGGTGGTATTACGATGGTGATAGAATAGAATATTTTGTTGTAATTAGTCATAATTAGTTTCCTATAATTATGTTGTATCATAATTAGATAGTTGACCAAATGTTACACTTTAATGTATATATATTCCATTAAGATAAATGAGAAAGGCAAGCATTCCATAATCTTACATGGTATCAACCCTAATTGATCCCTCTCTCAAAAAAAAAAAAAAAACTTCTTCTCCTTTGCAGCAACTCTTGCTGCAACAGAACTCCTTGTTATATGCGTACCGCCGCTTCCGAACATGAGAGCCACCTCTGTTCGCCGCCGAACCCGACAGCTTCTTCTTCTGTTTTCAGTTCGTGCCGACCCCGCCGACGCACAACACCACTGTCGTGCACAAGAACCTACGTGTTTCTTCCTCTGTTTTCGTGATTTCGATCTGTCCGGCGACCACATCATTACGTGACTTTTCCACATCACCATGTCTGATTCAGACTATTCAGAACACAGTAACGCTGATACTCGCAAATCCTCTGCTGATGCTGGTAATTCCGACCAGCCCAAGACGCTCTGAGGTTCCAAAATGGAGTTTCATCCCGCTCTTGCCGTCTCCAATATTAGGAATCACATTCCTATTATTCTTGAGATGGAAAAAAGATCAATATGTAACCTGGGCCGAGATTTTACGCATTCATGCTCGCTCACATCAAGTCCTGCATCACATTGTCCCATCTACTGGAAAAGAGCCACCAGCCGTTACTGACGCCGAACATGAACAGTGGTCCACTCTTGATGCCACCGTTCTTCAGTGGATTTATGCCACTATTTCTACTGATTTGCTGACCACTATTCTGGAACCCAACTCCATTGCAATGGAAGCATGGAACCGCTTAGAAGATATTTTTCAAGATAACCAAAATGCTCGAGCTATCACTCTTGAGCAAGAGTTTTACACTCGTATGAAGGATTTTCCCAATGTCTCTCCTTACTGTCAACGTCTTAAGATGCTTTCTGATCAGTTGAGAAATGTCGGCTCCCCTGTCAACAATCATCGTCTGGTCCTTCAGCTGATCTCTGGTCTCCCAGAAGCTTACCGCAGTGTTGCGACTTTGATTCGCCAGAGTAACCCTCTTCCGGCATTCTATCAGGCTCGTTCTATGCTCACTTTGGAAGAAGCTGGTATGGCTAAAATGACAAGCACGGGATCTCATGTTGCCATGTACACCACTCAACCGAGACCTACTGAAGACACCTTTCAGCGTGCCAACCGCCGCCCCAGCAACCGCTCTCGCTCTCGTGGAAACCAGGGCCGCGGCGGGGGACGAGGTAACCGTAGTGCACCTCAGACTGGAACTTTCAATGCTCCCTCACCTTGGTCCGCTCCTCCTTGGCAACAGCAACAACAGTACTCAGCCTGGCAACCATGGAGTTGGACTCCACCACCATGGGTTATGCCACTGTGCCCGTATCCCACCTCTCAGTGGACACGCCCTGCCGGTCCTCCTAAGCAGTCGGGAATTCTAGGACAGCGTCCTCAGGTATATGCAACTTCCACCTCATCTCAGACACCGACGGACATTGAGACAGCAATGCACACCATGTCACTAAACACCCCTAACAATCAATGGTACATGGATACTGGCGCAACATCTCACACGACCGCATCACAAGGTAATCTCTCCTCTTATTTTCCAGTAAGTAATTCAAATCAGAAAGTTATTGTTGGCAGTGGCCATGGAATTCCAATTCACAGCACCGGACACGCACAAATAGCCACATCTCAGCATCCCCTTAACCTTAACAATGTCCTGCATGCCCCAAAAATTATTAAAAATTTAATTTCTGTGAGACGACTCACCACTGATAACAATGTTTTTGTATCCTTTGACCCTTTTGGCTTTACTGTCTCTGATTTTCAGACGGGAAACCCCTTCTTAGATGTGATAGTCGTGGAGATCTATATCCTGTTACCATTCCTCCCAGTTTTGTCGGTCTCACATCCAGTCTTTGGCATAGTCGTCTTGATCATCCTGGCGTGTCTATTTTAAATTCCCTTCGCAAAAATGAATTCATATGTTGTGAACATGTTAAGTCTTCCGTTTGTGACTCTTGTGTTTTAGGCAAACAAGTTAAATTGCCATTTTTTGACTCTCAAACTACGACCTTGATGCCGTTTGATATTTTACATAGTGATTTATGGACATCTCCAATTTTAAGTTCTGCTGGTCATAAATATTATGTATTATTCTTAGATGATTTTACAAACTTTTGTGGACTTTTCCTATTAGCAGAAAATCTCATGTCTTCGAAACGTTCAAGTCACTTACTCAACTCATTCACACACAATTTTTGCAAAAAGTCAAATCTTTTCAATGTGACAATGGAGGTGAATATAATAATGAGCTATTGCACTGATCATGGACTTGTTTTTCATTTCTCTTGTCCTCACACATCCTCACAAAATAGGAAAGCGGAACGCAAAATAAGAACCACTAATAATACGATACGCACTACGCTAGCTCATTCTTCAGTTCCCCCCTCGTTTTGGCATCATGCTCTCTACATGGCAACTTATCTATTAAATATAATTCCCTGTAAAACACTTCAAAATCAGTCACCAACACAACTCTTATATCATCGTCATCCCACCTACACACATCTTCGAGTCTTTGGTTATCTATGTTATCCATTATTCCCGTCATCTACCGTCCATAAGTTACAACCCCGCTCTACCCGTGTGTCTTCTTGGGTTATCCGCCGAATCATAGAGGTTACAAGTGTTTTGATTTATTTAATAGAAAATTAATAATTTCGAGGCATGTTATCTTCGATGAAACTCAATTTCCCTTCACCAAGATACACTCCCCTTCACCTCACTCTTATCAATTCCTAGATGACGACCTTCACCCCTACCTTATACATCAGTGGCAAAATCAAATTTCACCACATGTTGCACATAACCAACCAACACCCACAATCACAATTGATCAGCCATCTCCCTCAATAAACCAACATTCATCATCTCCTACCTCTTCGATCAACACACCCGTTACAATAAACTCTCCATCACCACCACTGATTCAACCGCATCCACCTCCGCCTACACAAACTATCACCACCCGAAGCATGAAAGGCATTGTCAAACCCCTCACGATATTCAACTTATCAATCTCTTACTCTGACAACGCCATTTCTCCCATACCTAAAAACCCCAAACTAGCCTTATCAGACCCGAATTGGAAATCCGCAATGCAGTCTGAATTTGATGCTCTTATTCATAATAAGATGTGGGATTTAGTTCTTCGTCCTTGTGATGCTAACCTTATTCGATGTATGTGGATTTTTAAGCCTAAGAAAAATTTTGATGGCTCCTTTGAGCGTTATAAGGCTCGTCTTGTAGGTGATGGCAGGTCACAGGTTGCAGGTGTGGATTGTGATGATACTTTTAGCCTTGTGGTGAAACTTGCTACTGTTGCACCCCAAAATTTGACCAACAATTATTTATTCATTGAGTGTTTGAAAATTGATACCTTCACCAGAAAGTTCAAGGGGTCCTCAGAGGAATTGGTTGAAGCCAGGGTTGTGTGCTTCATAGCTTGAGAGTTGTGGATGCTCCTCAGATGATTCAGAGACTTTGAGAATGAACTTGGAGATTTGAGAAAGCCTATGAGATGTCTTGAAAGCCATCATGGAGCCTAGAGAGGTCATTATGCAAGAATTCAGAAGATTCAACCATGAATGGTAGAATTAGGGTTTTGACTGGGTCAACCCTAGATTAACTGAAAATTTGGAGAAGGTTGAGACCTAATCCAAGGGCCATGAGATCATGGAATGATTCATAGAGATGTTACAAAGATGATTCCTAGACCAACTC